TTATTCTCATTAACAAGATTCAGCATCGCTTTGGCAATAATATCAGTATAATTTTGGTTTTCAAATATGGCAGGATCATTAAAATTGATCTGCAATTAGTTGATATATTTAGCTTTAGTATTAACGTTAATGGTAAGCATTATTACTTAATGTACTTTTTTAGAATACTTACTGCATGATATCTTTGTAATTCACTTTGTGTTACTATTACAGCATGATATTGCAGTGATTGTTTTATTTGATCCTCCTGAATCTTTAATATTTCTACAGTTAAATGCTTTCACAACATTTCACAAACATTTGGAAGAATAGTACTAGTTGTCGCAACTAAGGCAGCTTTAGGAATTGATGCACAAAATAAAGCATAATCTGTTTTTTTATCTTCCTCAAGAATGCAAGCTGTTAACTTGTCTACAAGCTCTAATATTGTTGTATTAGAATTAAAAATTAGCCTTTTAATTTTTGAATTATAGCTTTCAACTTGAGATGTCGATAACATTCCCGCTGTAAATAGTTTGAGTACGAATGCTTTGGCCCATGATTCTTTATTATTGTAAAGCCGCTGCAAATAATTAACTACATTCACATTATTATACTTTTCAAGCAGTAATTTCTATCGATATTTGAAAATTAGAACAAATCCGATTTGCTGCACTTTAAAGAAATTTTTGACAAACTTATCATATTGGTCTTTTAGATGATTTTTGAGATTGAAAGCAATATTCTGTGCAATGTGAAACATACAATAAAGTGCATTTGTAGTAGGAAATTCATCTCGTATAGCAGCAACTAGAGCGGGATCGGCGTCAGTAAAAATAACCTGTGGAATAGCATCATGTGTTGCTTTCTTAATTTGTTGTAATATCCAACTATGCGTCTCTTTGGTTTCATCGTCTGTCAATGCCTGTGCCACTAACCTGGAAGACAAATGGTTGTCAACCACCAAAAAAAGTGACAATGCTATTTCATAATGATTAGTAGCACTAGTATTGTTATTCAGAACAACGTCACAATATTCTAACCATCGTTCAATTTGATCTGGAGACATATAGAACAATCGTCTAAGACACTTGCTGTTTGGATTCCAATCAACCTGAACATACCACCAGGGATCAGCCTCCTTCTTATTTAGCAATTTTTCATACAATTTGCTAACATCATTTTTTTGATCATGTAGTTTAGGACGAAACTGTTGAATCACTCGGTGTAGTACTGGCATATAGATCTTGATGAAATATTTTTCCTCCAAAGCTTTGCAAACTTGCTGAGGACTACAATTCATAGTTTTTACATAAAATTCAACATTCTGAATCATCTCTGTAGTAAACTCTATATTTTCCTGAAAATTGTAATGCAATAGGTCAAGGTCATGATTTTTATGCTCATCAACTAATTTGGTAATATATATGATCTTGTGGGAATTCTCTTTCTCTGGGCATGACAAATTTATTTGCCAAGTACATCCAATATGCTTAGACGTAGTTTCTTTTTTTGGATCCTTGCTTTTCGTTATTTCAGGTTGGCCAAAGTGTTCACAAACTAACGTACATCTTCGAATATCACTATTCTTAGACTTTTCCACATGATAATAGCACATTCTAAATTCCTGCTCTTTTTCATACCTTTTAACTTCTTTCAATGCATGGT